GTATAGAAAAGCTAGAATAGCTTTAAATCTTGACAAAATATTTCTAATACTTAAAAAAAGAATTTTATTAGGATATCTAGTGCTAGAAAATAATAGAAAATTTGACTTAGAGAAAATTAAGATAATTATAGAATTAAGTCATCTTTTAATGGTAAAAGACATACAAATGATCTTAAGACACATTGGATGGTATCGAGAAGTCATACAAGACTATGCTACACTTTCTATGCCCATAATTTGATTAATACAAAAAGAAGTGAAGTTTGAGTGAAAAAAAAAAATGTGAAGAGGCATTTGATATCTTAAAAGAAAAACTTAGTATTTTTCCTATCTTAAGACCATCAAATTAGTCATTATCCTTCCATATGCTATGTTATGCTTTGTTGGTGGTAATAGGAAGCACCTTCTATCAAGCAAGTGGAGAAAAAGATAAAGGCTATTCCATTGCCTTTGCTAGTAGATAATTAAATCCTATAGCAAAAAAATTACACTATTAAGAAATAGAAATGCCTTACCATGGTTTTTTCTATCAAAAAGTTTGACCACTACCTTCTCTTAAATCCATTAGTATTTATTGTAGACCATTTGGCAATCAAATATCTTATTAACAAGACAGATTTGAATGATAGACTTGTAAGATGGATGCTTCTACTAGAAGAATTTAATTATATGATAGAATACAAGCTTAGAAAGTTTCACAAGTAAGCAAATTATTTATCTAGGTTATTAGAACAAATTGGTGGTCTTAATTGATAATACTTTGGAAGATAAAAGCTTATTTATTTTTTTGACCATGCCTACTTGATATGAATTAATTACCAAATTTTTGAAAATTCAAGCTCTTTCTTTTCATCTTTCTAAAATAAAATATAAGAAAGTAAGAATTAATAATAGACACTTTGCTATAATTAAAAAATATATATATATATATATAGATATGGAATCAACAAAATATTAAAGAAGTGTATGATCGATAAAGAAATTCCTACCATTCTATTGACATGTCACAATAATGCATGTAGAGATTACTTATTGAAAACTTAGAGTGGCCATATAATCCTTAAAATTTACTATTATTGGCTCAAATTATTTTAAGACATATATAAATATACTAAAACCTGCAATGTATGTCAATATTATATAAAGAATGACTTAAAGATGAACTTGCCTCTTTATATATCTCTACTTTTAGTCTCTTTTGAAAAATAGAGAATTGATTATATTACAGAGATTTACCCTAATTCTATTAGTGAAATAAAACACATAGTAGTAACAATCAAATATTTAATCAAGTAGACTAAAGAAAAGGCAATTAAAGCCAACAATGCAAAGCAAGCCACGAAATTCTTTTACGAGCAGATTTTCACTAGATTTGAATGTCTAAATTTTTTTATTAGTAATAGAAGAAAATATTTTTTTAAATAAGATGATAGAAGACTTGATCATATAATTTAAAATTGATTGTACAAAGACTATTTCTTATCACCTTCAAATCAATACATATAGAATGGATCAACCAAATTTTGATTAATATATTTAAAAAAACAATAATAACACCTAAAAAAGATTAGAACACAAAATTTCTTGCAGCCTTATAGATTGATAGGATGACGTTTAAGGTGACAATCCAAGCAACTCTATTTTCTTTGATTTATAGTATATAAGCCATTTTATTAATCAAATTTGAAATTCTTTCTTTTCATATTACCTTGATAAAAATTTTGTCAATTAAATAATCTTTATTTGATAGGCTCAAATGGTTAGAAAGTCTTGATGAAGCTAAAAGATAAAGTACTCAATATACAAAGTACTTGACAAAAGAAGAAAAATTATCTTTGACAAACAATACAAGGTTAGAATCTTTAGGCTTGGCATGTTGGTTCTTTTACAAGATACTAGGAAACCTGATTTTCTAAGCAAATTTGATGCAATATGGTTGAAACTATATCTGACTAAAGAAGTCTATCCAAATAATTTAGTTTGGTTGCAAACTCCCAACAAAAAAGATTTTTTTATTGTAACTTTACAAAATATATGTAAAAAATATAGAGTGTAATTTTATACATGTGGTCAACTAGCCCATTTTTACATTCACTCTTATTCAATTCTTTATATTGCAAATCATCAAAATTAGATGAAATTTAGAAAATTAAAATTCTATAATACAAGATTAACAATCAATATATTCATTCATCTTGTCTTCTATTCAATTTAGTTCATTACAAAATATCCCACATATTTTATGTACACAAGAAGAGTATTTGATTAAATTCTTAAAAAATAAATAAATAAATAAAAAATTTGAGATATTAAGTAGTATTTAAGTATTCTTTAATTATCGAAGGATTGTAGAATTGTTGGTGGAGTAAAGAATTATTAATAGAGTGTCTCAAATTTGAATCTAATGAAAAAAAATAAAAAAAAAATAAAAAAGATTATTCCAATGAGTTATTATTAGTATAAAAAAGACCAACAATAAATATTGAAGAAATATATAAGCCTAGTAAGGCTTGATGTCATGTTATTTTCAAGTTCAAAAAGACTTTATAACATTAAAATTTTTTAAATTTTAATTATTTTTTTTTCTTTAAAATTTTTGACAAAACATAAATTTCAAATACTTTTGTCTTCTTTCGATAGTGTTCAAGAATAACTATAAAGGACATGAACTAAAAGATGATGCATAAACCAATGAAATCCGTGTCAAAGAAAGAGTGACAAAATAGAAATAAAGAAGTACATATATTAAAAGAAATTGGAAAGGCTTATTGCCAAAAGACAAGAAAACTTGAGATTCTTGAAACTAGACTAGAAGCAAGAAAGGACTTGATAAGAGTGAAGAGAGCTTCACTCTTGTTTCTATATATATTATCTAACTAGGAACTACATTGTCGTATTATGTGCTAACTTGCTTGAGAACGCACTGGGCGTCTGGCTATAGAAGATAAAACAATGTTTTGTAAGTTTTTGGATAGGCTAGTGGGTTTCAACCATCTAAATACAATCTATTTTAGATTTCAATGTAAAAGCTTAATTCAATACAAAGTACTTAGAAATACTATTTTTAATAACTTCAAGATATTATAAGCATAAAGTCTTTTGTTATTTATTAGTTTTTATTTATTTTATTTTATTTTATTTTATTTTATTTTTAATCCTAATCCTAGACAACGAGCTTCAACAAGCTCTAATTCTCAATCTGACTGTCCAATTGTTGTAAACTTCTACCACTAGTGTCTTTGCAAGCCTTCTAAATGCTTAAGAAGTTTCCATCCAATCTAATTTATAGGTTGCAAGAAAACGCCATAAATCCACACTGATGTATCTTGATCGCCGCCTAGAAGTCCTCAACTTATCACGCCAAAAGTCACCTTATTCCAGCTGGTAGATCTCCAAATATTACAAAAACTCTAAACAACCCCAATCTGCTAACTCTCGATACTTCTTTACACTAATGGTCAAATATCTTCTATCTGTTCCATCAGATTAACACAACTTTTTGCATGCACTTGGCATATTCAACCCTCTAGACATCTCTAAATTTCAACCGCAGAAGTTTCTCCAATTTCACAAAACAATCAAGAGTATCAACCTTAACTTTATTGCAAAAAACCCAATTCACCAATACAAACACTGACTTTTAACAATGATTGTAAAAGTCCTCCCAAATCCTATGAATCCAATTCTACACCTTTTGAAGGAGCTTGAAGCTAGCTCTCCGACCCCAAAATCCCGATCTCCAAATGCCCCTTTCCTTATTTTCTCCTCTCTTTTAACTCCCTGTGGTCCCATTTTCTCCCATTGTCATAATACGTGAAGTCTTGCTTGAGAATACTCCGAGCACGTGACTGTGGAAGAAAGAATGGAAATTATAATAATAAAATCTTAATTCTAATAGAATACTAACAATGCTATAATTAGACCATAATAATGCTAAGCAAGCTTAATCAAATTCAAAAAAAATCTCAAAGAAATTTCAAACAAACAATAAGAATTCTTAAAGAAATATTACAAAGATCACAAATATCATTCAAATACATTTCAATTCAATCTTAATTTAATTCTAGTTAAAATCCTATTGAACTTCATTCAAACTTTAGGCCAAAAATAATTGAATCTTAAATCCTAATAAAATCCTAAACCCTAAATCAAACCCTAAACAAACCTTAAACCAAACCCCAACCAAATCTTAAACCAAATCCTAACCAAATCATAAACCAAATCTTAAATCCTAAATCAAACCTTAGCCAAACCCTAATCCAAATCCTAAACCAAATCTTAATACAAACCCTAAATCCTAAACCAAACCCTAACCAAATCCTAATATAAATCCTAAGCCCTAAACAAAATCCTAACCAAATCCTAAATCCTAAATAAAACCCTAACCAAACCCTAAACCAAATCCTAAATCTTAAATAAAATCCTATCAAATCCTAAACCCTAAACCAAACCATAACCAAACCCTAATCCAAACCCTAACCAAATCCTCAACCAAACCCTAGTAATTCCTACAACAAATTTAAACCTCAATAACTAATGAATAAACCGTTGATCTTAACTCAAATTTTTCAAACTTCTAAAAACATAAGTTAAAAACAAGCACAAAAAAATTGAAAATGATCGGAGTTACCATATTGACGATAACCTCAAAAGTGTATTTGGGTATTGGCCAGCCTCCTAAAATTTTGATGTCAATCTTCTAGAGCCAATATCTCTTCATTGCACCGTTTGATTGATCTCAAAATTCTCATACACATAGAAAATCAAGTTTAATATCCTCTCACGCAAGTTTCACTCCAATCCAACTAGTAGACTGCAAGAAATCTTAAAAACTCCCTCTAGACTTAAAATTCTACTTATTGAGACCTTGAGCCACTTAAACCTCAAAATCCCTCAATTCAACTGTTAGATCAAGTTCAAATTCAAGACACATATTAAACACAACTATAACCATAAACCATTAAAATTTCACATGTAGATCTATTACAAAACTCTTGAAATCACCCAAAACATAAATCCTATTTTATTTCATAAAACCCAAGTCATCCGAAACATCTTCTTCGACGATACTTCTGTATTATAGCAATTAGAACGAGTTATTGGGCACGTTGATTTACTGTGCTTCGTTCGCTTGCTTGCTATGTATCGGGGCCTGGTTGTCCTCTTGGATATGCGGCTGGTATGGTTACGCTGACTTTCCGCCATCATTCGATGCAGTGCAGTAGTCGTCGACATTGAGTCAACTGAATGTTTGATCCGACTTGAAAACTAGGTGTTTCATTTCAAGGTAGATAAATGGTTAGGTATTGCACAATGAAAACAAGTCATAATTAGATTATAAATCCAATAGAATGCCGACAATGATGATCACAGACAGAATATATTCCTATCCACAAATGCTTGATCATCATTTCATGATTACACCTTGAATGTTGCAGTCAAAATCCGCTAAAATTCGACTGCAGACACGAGAGCTCATACATTCATACATGTCTATCACTGAAAGATACGTAAGATGATTGGCTACCAATTTGAGGTTGGACAATGAGGAGCTGGAAAAAGCAACTTACAATAAACGCAGGGATTAGATGAGTAATCACGATCTTAATCCACACAGAGGCCTTAAGTATGCAAACAACTTGAAAATTGAAAGATAAGGGGCCCCACGGATCATCCTTTGTATGTCCCACGACTTGATAACTATGGCCGCGAAACAGAACAAACTGTTAAAAGATGAAAGACAAAACTATCTGGTGCTAAAAACGACAACCCGCGGACACTCATGAGGGATATAACCAGCATAACTATTGTTCTAATTTCCCGAAAGTCACGGCTGTCGATCACGATTGTACCTGTTAAGCCAAAGTTCTAATTTGTCATATTTAGCAACCAGAAAACGACAAGAAGTGAAATAGTTATCAGAATCCAATTCCATGAATCTACATAACACCTCTTTCCTTTCAATCCAACATAAACGCATGTTCTTACTAACCTGTGCTTTTCAAAATCATTCAAACCGTCAACGTCAAAACCAAGTGAAAGCGTTAAAGCTTGCACACTCGACGTCAAAGACTTGCATTGATTTTCTAAATTTAGAACTGAGTGACCTAGTGGCGTTGATATGACTAGATTGCACTTCCCATTCGCGACTCCGACATTGCTTCCTCGCGAGTAGACAAAAAGTGCAGAGAAGAGAATGCAAGAGACAAACTAAAAAGTGATCAATAAGCATCACCCTGCAACACTATCCAAAAACTAACACAACCACGGATGATCCTCTAGAAACCTCCAAGAAACTCCACACCAAGAGCAGACCACTTTCCAACCATACGCAAAGCAATCACCTCCATCTCTTTCAATTGAACTTACTACAATGTGCGTTACCACGCAAACCATGTCATTTTCACTTAAACCGAGCTCTAAACGTTGCCAGGCACCAAAAAGATTCCAAAGTATGCAGGAGAAAAAATGAAAATTTTCTATCCAAATCAAGTACACTGACCTCCTGCACAAACTCTAGCATTCTCTTTCATCCATTCTGATATTCCCAGCAACAAAAACCGAACAGTAATGCTCACTAGTAAAATCCTACTTAAAACTCAGAAATCATGTTCGAATTACGAATCTCAACGCATTTCCAGAGTCCAACCGTTGTAAAGAGGTCCCAAGCCAAAATCCAGTCTCCTCCTACCAGATTCCGAGACGAAACCGCCATATGATCAACAACCGATCATCGTCTCTATTAAACATCGACAAAAAAAATATTTTAGACTCGAAAAAATTCCTCAAAATTCACCGAAAAAACTCAACACAAAAATTTTGAAGCGGATGCGCGACGGGACCAGTAGTGAGAATTCTCACAAAGACGAGCATCGAACAATTGATCGATCACGTGGTGCTGCGCTGTGGAGAATTCCAGTTCTGTCTGGCTACATGGAACTGGAGGTGCGAGACGAAGTTCGAATGCAAAAGAGCAGCCCGTTCCCTTCGCATGCTTTGGCGCTCCCATGCGTGTTCCCTTTGTGACCTAAGTCGCTGGGCAAGTGGGACAGGAATCCAAAAAAGGTGTTGAGGAATCCATGATATTATTTTCTTATTCCGTTGTGTGTACTTCAATTGTGTAATTCCTTCCCAACCCTATTGAAGGCATCTACACAGTAATATATTTATTTATTTATTTTTAATTCATCTACAGGGTAAGGCTCCCTCTCCTTTTCACAAGATTCTAAAATTTCATGATGGTGTTTATTTCATGGTGTTTGTCTTGGAACATATTTGTTACTGAACAGGTACATGGATTGATACTCTTATCACAAGCACCACACCTCTTGTTATTTTAGAATAAGGAGATTCTTTTCAGTAAAGAACTGTATCCTCTCGTTTCTTGTTTCTGAAGCATTTACTGAAGCCTTTGTAGTTTAATTTTTCCTCCTACTTGAGTGTGTGTGCATATTCTTTGCTACATAGATTGTAATGGTTTATTCAATACAATCATTTTGTTTAGGCTAATGATTGTGATATTCTGGTTTTCTACTGGTTATTATTGATCTAAGAATGGCTTAATTAGTGACTAAAACCATATAAATTCAGTAGAAACCTTATTCAACATATCAATTCCATACACACACACACATCTATATATATATATGTATATTCATAATTCAATCAAATTTAAAATTAATCTTTAAAAACAAATAATTTAAATGATTATTAAATATATCTCACTTGATAATTTATTAAAAAATCTAATATTTAAGACAAACTCACAAAGCTAAACTTTTTCTTTGGTTGCATGAAAAATACCATTTTTTTCTTTCAAAGTTATTTTTTTTATTACTTCTTGATAATTTAATATATTTAATAATTAATAAATAAAAGTCCAAGAAATAATTTTAACATTGAATAATAATATTTTTAAAATTAGATTTTTATAAATATGTTTAATTAATTCTTTTTATATAAAGTACACAACCTAAGATATTTAATTTAAATAACTCAAAATAATGTGTAGAATTACATGAATTGGAATTTTTAAATAAAATTTATTTTATACCTACTTTTAGCAAAGCAATTTTTATAAGGGGATTTTTTTTTATCAATTTTTTTAAAATAAAAATCTTTATTTATAAAATATATAAAAAAATTCAATATGTTTATCTTTTTATTGAATATCTTAGTATTTTAAATTTGTTAGTATATAATTTATAAATTTGAATTTTTGAAATTGAATTAAATTGTTTTTGAGAAGTATTGATTATTTTATATATTTAGAGAAAGTAATTTAAAAACCAATATGTAATAATAAGTTATTTTAATTTTTTTATAAATATGATTTATAGGATTTACATCCTAAGGGTTTTATCTTAAAGATTTAGTACATCTAAAACATTGTTTTATTAGATATTTTTATAGAAGATAAGATATTTTCTCAGAAGAAAGTTTTTGACTGTTGAAATTATAATGAGATCACTCATATAAAGTAAAAAATTGAAATATGAAGTTTAATATATGAATTCAATTGATATATTATTTTTTAAAAAAAAAAAAAAAAAAATTAAAGAAAATAATTTTTTCTTGCTTGTTCCAATAAGAAATTAAATTTTCTTTAAGATATTAGTTTCTTAACTTTTTTATTTTTTTTCTATACAAGGTAGTTTAGAATTTGAATACAAGGTATTTTAATGTTTTATTTCACGAATATATATTTTTTAAATTTCTTTATAATTTTTTATTTTAGATTATTCTACTTAATCTTTATTCTAATTAAAAATTTAAGAATTATTTATTTAATAATTTTAATATCTTAAAAATATTAAATGAAATATTTAAAAGAATAAAAAAAAGATAAAAATATTAAATAAATTTATATCTCAAAAATTTATAAATTTTATTTTTTATTTAATACTATTTTTAGAATTAATTTTTATATATAATTTTAAATATTGGTAATTATTATTTTTTTAATTAATTAGAAAATTATCTTGTTAATAAAAATATATTAATAAATTCAGCATTAGAATTTTCTTAATTATTAGAATTAAAATTCAGAGTCTTTTTTTAAAATATAATTGTAAATTATAAAAGGTTTTAAACATACCAATTGAATAGAAATATGAAATTAACTAGGTATGCATGGTCAAAATAAATGATTTGAATTAATCTTATTGGTGCAAGAATAATACACAAAATATATTCTAAAATTATTTGCACAAGAGTCATGGCTCCCTTTAAAATTTATTTATCAAGTACAATTATATATAAATATAAATATAAATATATATATATATATATATCTATTTTAAATTGTAATAAAATATATATTTTTTATATATTTTTATTACTAAAATATTTTCTATTTTTATTATTTACCACAAAAAAATAAAATTTTGTTACATTTTGTTTGTAGCTACTTACTTCTTGTAATATAATTATACTTGATGTGGTCTATTAATAAAAATAAAAAATTATAAGTATGATAAGATTTACGAGTGGAATTTTTTTTAAAAAAATAATTAATATATTTTAATAACTTGATCTTTTATATTGTGATTCTAATGCCAAGATATCTACTACATTTATGCAAGTTCTTTATTTTTCTAATCTATCTTGGTTTTTCTTATTTATGGCCATTCAAAGTAGGTAGAATCTATTTTCATAAAAGACATTTTTAACACAAAAAGATTTTATTACCTTCCTACTTTTAATCTATATTTTTTATTATATATTTTTAATTAGGATATTCTATATATATATATATATATATATATATATATTAACCTATTGGCCATATAACTACAGAATAACATTGTATTATTCTTAACAAATTATTATAGATATAACATTTGCAAAAGACAAGATTCCAAGAATTTGAAGAAATAAAATATAAGAGATTTACTTTATATTATATACAAGAAGCTACAACAAGCTATATATTTTAGAGTAATTTAATAATTTAAAAATGAGATATTGGTGCTAGAATCTTAACATTAAAGTTGGAAAAAGAAGCCACTTAATATTCAAATGAATTAACTTACATTTTTTTCAATTGGATTCTATTCTTGTTGAAACAAGACCAGACTATCTCAAAAATCCAAGATCCTTGTAATCCATAGCAACATAAAGCCTCATTACAAAATAGGACAAAATAAACCAAAATAAAATTGAATAGAACTAAACAAAATAAGACATCAAAGATAAAACTAAGCAATCGGAAACATAATAGAACAAAATTAAACAAAAAGATGCAAAACCAAATTTTACTAAGAGAAAGGACCCAAAGCCGTACTTGACTAGATGGACCCAAATATGTATGCAAGTTTTTGGAATTGATAAGAAAATGTGTCATCTAATTCGTTCTAAAAAATAATCAATAAAATAAATAAATAAATCTTGTTGCATGGAGGTTATTTTGGAACATGCATTTATGCTCTTATACAAAAACAACAAACAAACAAACAAAATGAGATTAAATTAGTTGAAATAAAATACAAAAAATATTACAAAATAGTCCATGTACTCCAAATCTATTGAGTGACTTGTCTTGATTTGATGAAAAGTTTGGATAGTTGTGTATAAATGATTAACAAACAAATAGATAATATTTATAGATAATCGATAGTGACAAAAGATGGTATCAAAGAAGAGTCATGCAAGCATTGAGGCATCAATATCTAAGTGCATTGCGGCCAAGTGAAGTTGCTTTGAGAGTCAATCGAAAAAGAAAAAAACCGCGATATGATTATGAAGCGTCTAAGGCAACACGTAATGAAATCCATAGTCATTTGCTCTCAATGTGTCATAGATAGGAGAATTGGCTGCAATAGTTTAAGAAATACTACATTGCATGCTTTATTTGTTGACATGACTCACAGAAGTGTACAAACGCTTAAATATCATGATCCAAACTTGCTCAAAACCATGTTGTTGAGTTCTATTCTAGAGTCTTCTCTTGTCCTAGATGTCTAGATATTAGAATGTCATATCCCTTCTAAAACATGTGCACCCATAGTTTAGCATTATTGAATATATAAATTCACTCTTTAAAATAGAGCAAGCTATTATTAAGAATATAATCCTAATATTGTATATTATCCACCTTCAATTGATTACTAATTATCTTAAAATAAGCATTTTGATGCATAGTTTCTTTCTATTCTCCCTCTTTGGTTAGATTTAAAATGACACTACTAATGGTAGTAACTTCTATCTTGTCTCTCAATTTATTGTTCAAGTTTGGTCTCCATGATAAGCTATTTGGCACAATATGTTATCGCCCTTGCTTATATTCAAGTTGGATATGAAAAAGCTGTAATTATTTTTTTCAACAATGATGCTACAATTTCATATTTTCCAGATGCAACTCATCTAACAAAGATCAATGGTCAGTCCGAACAACCATTGGCTTCTCCAATAGGTAATATCACCACACCTTTGTGGCATGTATAATCACTACTTATTCTCAATTATGTATAGAGTAATTGCGCTCTATCCTTTTGAACTTACGTGATTCATATGCCACAAGTTGAAGGTCCCTACCAAAGTTCTATTGAAGAACAACTCTAATAGCCAAGTCAAAAGCATCAATGTCAAGCATACAAAGAAGATTAGTATCATACAATTCCAATATTAGAGTAGTAA